GTGTGTGTGTGTGTGTGTGTGTGTGTGTGTGTGTGTGTGTGTGTGTGTGTGTGTGTGTGTGTGTGTGTGTGTGTTTGTTTGTTTGTGTGTGTATGTGCAGTTTGCTCACATTGTTCTTCAGACAGGGTCCTCTCTACAGACAGATGTTTTCCTGCTGATTGAATCTTGTCTGGACTCATTTCCTCCACCTGTCAACACCATCAGAACCACAGTCAGCCCTCCACAAACTACCAGACAACAACAGACCTTATTCAGCCACTGAAACTGAGGAAGTTTGGTAGAAATGCAGCCTAAAGTCTGGTATCTATCCAATATGTACCAGGTAAGTACACTGTAAATACCTGGGAGATTATCTGTTCTGTACCTGGTACTTACAGGGTATGTACTGTTACCTACAGGTACTGAGCTGTGTTATGAACTAACCTGTTACCATGTATATACAGGTTACAAACACTGTACTTGGTACATACCATAAATACCCTGTAAGTACCAGGTACCCTCCTGATACCCAAATCATTTTCCCAGCATTCCAAGCTTTGGAATTAACACCAACCTTGTGTCTGTTAACAAAATATTCCAGAAATCWTTGGACAAATTTTAGTAAAACTCATCGAAACTAATTAGATGTACATTTACAAGTGTGTTAGCACTCATAACATAAATTATGGATCAGTCTCATCTACTATCACATCAAATTTAATCTGTAAAAGTGACTAAGGTTGATCCAGTTTGGGTTTTTATGGTCAGTTAGCAGAGGTGTCTGTCATTTCAGAAAGTTATAATATTTTAAAAGTACATCCTATCATGACTCATTGATAACACAGACACAAATTTTCGCAATGTCAAATGTCTGTTATTGCACATGTATCAAACTGCACATATATTAAAGTATGTTTTATTTAGCGATTTATAGAAAGTCCAAAGTTATTTAGAAATAGTCCTAAAGCAGAGTCTCTCTGACCTCCAGCTCGCTGTCATCGATGTGTGTGAAGGAGGCATGCAGCTCGGGGTTGTTGGCCATGTCCAGCAGCTCGATGATCAGGTTCCGGGTCAGCAGCTGGGTCACAAACGGATGCTGGAGGAACAAAAAACATGTCACAACCTCCAACATGTGCTATCATCAGGCCTTCAGAGGTCCAAGTCAGACTTTTAGATGAGGTCAAGGGTCAGGAACAACTAGCATTAAAAAAATGTAGTTGTTTTTCTCCCTATGTGTACCTGTAATGGACTTGTGGTCTGTCCAGTGTGTCCCCAATCAGTGTGTCAGTCGACAACACGTACTTTGAACATAAGCTCATCCACAAGAAAACCTGGAGGTCACCCGATGGAGGAACTTTCAACGACATCTGCATATCCAAGTGATGGAAATCGTTGATCATGGATGTCCGGATGTGCCGTGGGGCGGACATCGGCTCTGACCACTACCTCCTCAGGGTGAACTGTTGACTCCGAATGAAGCATTGGTCAAAYGAAGCTGCAGATGGAACAAATGCGAGTGGTTGGACCAGAAAGGACAAGAAGCGCAGGAAGCTGCTGAAAAGAATGACACCAAGACACTCTACAGAATTAGCTGTGAACTTACCGGAGCAAAGAATAGATAAGGGGCGCCCATCAAGGATAAGAACAGAAAGCCATTGCTGAACAAAGAAGAACAACATGCGAGATGGGTGCAACACTTCAAAGAAACCCTGAACCAACTACAGCCTGAATCAACCTTGACTTTGAAGACCTGACCCCCACAGATGATGTAGCGTCAAGAATCTATACAGTCACGACAGCAGAGACCATGGTGGTGATAAAGCTCTTAAAGAACAACAAGGCTGGACATGGTGTTGGCAGAAATGCTGAAGCGCAGGGGACAGAGCCTTGTTAATGAGATGACGGACCTTCTTCGGCAAGTGGCCCAGGTGCCGGAAGAGTGGCGGAAAGGTGTCATTGTCAAGCTCCTCAAGAAAGGCAACCTGACAGACTGCAATAACTGGTGAGGAATCACACTCTTCTCAGTTCCAGGGAAGGTGTTCAGTATCATCCTTCTCCAAYGGCTACAAGCTGTGGTGGATGAGAAGCTTGGGGAGGAGCAAGCTGGCTTCAGATTTTGCAGATCTTGCGTAGAGCAGATCTTTGTCCTGCAGACCATCATTGAGCTGAGTCTGGAATACCAACAACGGCTATCGGTCAGCTTTGTAGACTTCACCAAAGCTTTCAACATAGGGAGTTGCTTCGGAAAATTGCGAGGTCGTATGGAATTCCGGAACAGTTTGTTGAAGTTTTTCGAAACCTCTACTTCAGCTCAAGCTGCTGCATATGAACAGATGAAGGAAYAACATAATTCTTTGCCATCAAGACCAGCGTGTGGCAGGGGTGTATACTTTCCCCCTTCCTATTCCTCCTGGTCATTGACTATATTCTGCACAGGACCATGGATTGAGCGGACCTAATCGGTCTGACTTACGGACCATACCAGATTGAAGGAGCGCAAAGGTTCACATATCTGGGCAGCGTTATAACCAACAATGGTGATACAGAACATGATGTGGTGTGCCGGATTGGGAAGGTGGAAGCTGGTTTCTAGCAGTTCAAACCAATTTGGACGTCTACGACCGTCAGCATGGCGACAAAGATCTGCCTTTTTAACTCGATTGGCATCTGGACAGCCATATACGCATGTGAAACATAGAAGACATCTTCAAAGATTTGAAAGAAGACTGAACGTTGCCCAGCAGCTGCGTTTAAACTGGATCCTGCGAGTCTCATATTGGGACCGCATTACGAAAGAGAAGATTCATCTCAGAATAGCCACCCGTCCACTGAATGACATTGTGACAGAGCGCCGATTAAGATTCACTGGACATGTCCTCCGTCAGAAAGCAACACACCTACCGAAAAMCACCATCCAATGGATACCACCACTGGGGAAGTGGAAACAAGGACGTCTCCGACAGAATTTACATTTTGTGACCTTCCACAAAGACTTCGAGGCCCTAGATATCAGCCCAGACAAGGCCGAATTGGTCGCAAGAGATTAACCCCAAGGGAGATGTCTTTCCGCCAATGCTGAACGGCGCAGGAGGAACTAAGTCTAAGTTCATTCAAATTGTATAACCATGATTGACCAATAACAGGTCAGTGCTTCGCTCAGATGTCAGAGGYCATCCATCCATCTATCCATCCATCAATCCAGCATCCATTTTTCCACCCATCCAGCTTTCTATTTACAGTGGTTTGCAAAAGTATTCATACCCCTTGAACTTTTCCATATTTTGTCACATTACAACCACAAACATAAATATATTTCACTGGAA